CTATTTTGTATAATAATGACTTATTATCTCCTACATTATACAGTTTTTATCTTCTGATTCGCAGTTGAACATATTTTGTTAATAACTGTCGACCCTTATTTGGCCCTATTCATGAAATCTTGAAACTATTATATAAATGTACAGATAGGATGAGAAATTACAAAAAGAGTTATGTTTACTGACTAATATCTTCTTAACCTGAACTGTATCTTCAAAAATTAACAGAAGCACCCATTCCTGCATTACCCAACAGTAAACAGTTCATACTAACTGATGTTAAGCAGAATAAAAGCCTTTAGAATACGTTTAACTCTTCATACTTATCAAGCTTTTTTCTGATGCATTTGAGTACTATTGAGTAAAATACCCCCATAATATTAAGTAAGATGGAGAAATCTAAACTTATGTTGGCTGTCAGTTAAGACTAACTCTAATATTAAACTTTTTATTAGTTTCACTTTTTACAACTTAAAATGCAAGATGTGTTATATCACTGACGCTACATGTACATGTACGTCATAACTTTTTGACCAGCTTAAACTCATTTATATCCGCTTAGCAGTGCTAATGAGAGAAGATTTGTAAATCTTAGCAGGATTCTGATTGCAGAAACACCATTTGTGCTAAGTAACACAGGTTGTTGAAATCGGATTTCTAGGTTATGACCACTGGTATATTTCACTCTACATTCTTGCAATCCACTTACCTTATTCACATAGCTTTCTATTCCTTACATTTTTAAGAACTGACTGAGGTCAAAACAACTTCATATATTTGCTACTCATATTCATACAATAGTCAGAAATGAAGCTCAATAGTGGGAAGGCTTCTACACAAGCATCTATTTAAGCTCAACAGTGTCAAATGATGTTACTTAAGGCCTGTCCTCCTATTAATTGAAAATTTCAAAACGTCAAGAGGCGAACAACAAACATCCATAACTCTCTGAGTTAAAGAACCTGAGGTAGCATACCTGTATTCATCAATACAAACAATCAAAAGTGCATGATTATTCTCAGTGACACTGGTTATTTACTCAGATCAAACAAAAATGAGGGAAACTCAGAGCTCATCTTAAGCGACATCACTATTTACGATTTTTCATTTGAACACCTTCACATTCGCCCTCGTCTTAAGCATTGCCTAATACGGCGATATTCTAATTCCAAATCCATGTCACCTTCATGAATAAGTCTACCAGGTTACTTTGTTTTTTCTTGCATCAGAGACTTTACAAACGCCTAACCGAAGGTAAAAGAAGATTTTTTTCGATGAGCTTTCCAGACCTATGCGGTATCGCACCTTATGAGTAGGTTACTTGATGCTATAATCCCTGAGCTCTTTTTCAAGATCTAGAGGACTTACACTAAACCTCGCCATGAAGATTTAAACGCCATTTCACTGCTACATCTTAAAACGCATGTAAACCTCTTCAATAAAGTTCGGAGAAGACAGCGATAGGTCAAAGGATCTGGTTTCTTGTACTCTTAGTTACAGCACAATGCATTGTGAATTTTGTAATGACAACTTTCCTTTCTCTGGGTCTGCTCACTTGGAGTGCACTACCGTTTGACATAACCACCGGCACATCCACCGAAAGCTTCAAAATTGCTTGGACAGTTAATAAGTGACATATGAATCGTGTCCCTCCAAGTGGTATACGAACTAAACATAAGGAACTAGGTGATCTCGCAGTAGTCCTTCGTTTTCTTTCACCATCAGCCCCATTCCCTTTTACTGTTACCCTTATCAATGACATGGCTCAGACTCCCACCCCTCTTTCCCATTCAAAATCCCGTTTCTTCGGCTGCCTCCTTGTTGTTAATGTCACTGTTATCACCATTTTGATTAAACATGCTTTGATTTTCTTTCTCTCTTACTTTCTCTTATTCTATTCACCTAAGTTCTTCCAATAATTATTTCTACTTTCCACCTAAATTTATTTGACTTACTTTACTTCACCTTAATTGCCTCTCATATCCCCTCAATTTTTTGAAACTGGTCCAAACTACTGTCTGATGACACCACATTTTAATATCTTGTCAGCAATACAGTGCCAGGATAAACCGAACATCTGGCAAATTCAACCAATAAATAACCACTCACTAAGTTTTCCACAGCTACAGAAAATGAGTAGCAGGATTTACTACATCATAATCCACTGAAAACTTAGGACCATTAAGTAGGACCTAGAAGCGAGCACGAAGAAACCAATTAGCTTACAGAAGCTAGTAAAACAGATGCTGGGCATATTCCACTTACAGTGATGAAATTTATTATATAAGAGCGGTCAGTAGCAACTGTGTGTTAATGTAAAAACCACACCAATTCTAGATGGATTGTCTATACTTCTATCTTCCGACAGCATCAAAATACGGAGGAAAATAGTTAGGGCAGAGGACTCTAGGATACTCCAAGACGATCTGCTGCAGTTCAAGTCCGGGTCAGCTGTGAGTGGTTTGAGCTTTAACCTGAACAAGTGCAAGGTGATGCATCTTCGCACATCGCAAGCAATAAAAACCAGACAAACCGTCAACAAGTGCTTAATCACCAGGGTATCCACAGAGAAGGGCCTAGAAGCAAGCTTCTGTGACACATTGGATACTAGTGCCAACTATAAGGGAATGGAATCAAAGGTGAACGCCATCATATACTTCCTAAGGAGACAGGTTGAGGCGCTAGCCCCAAAATTATTCCTCATAGTATTTAAAACTTATGTAAGAGGTATTCAGCACGATGGTCCCCCTTTACTAAAGAGAGACTCGAGCACTCGTGAGAAGGGACAGAGAAGGGCGACAAGATCACCTATCAGACTAACAGGCAAAACATATGCGCAACTCCGCAGACAACTCAACCCATTTACATCAAGATATCGAAGGAAAAACGGTCACCGAATAACCGCTTACAAAATCATTCACCAAGTGGACCACTCCGAAAGGTCAACATTATCTGTCTAAAAACGACAGTCACACGACTACTGGATAAGTACACAAGTGCAAACGCCTTACCACAAACATTCGACGGTAGCTACTGAATGTATGTTCATCCATCTCTGTACTCCTCAACCCCAATATCTGCAATAAGACCCATCCCTCATCAATATTATTACCAGTAACACTTATTTCTGCACAAGTACTTTTCACTCCTCTTGTCCTCATTCCCCTCTTGCCCTATTCCTCAAATTACCTTTTAAATAACGCTTGTTACTTGCTTACGGGTGCTCACAAAAACAGAAAATATAGATGGTAAATTTGTTTTGCCAGTAGCTCTGTTTTTCTGTTCAACAAATAAACTCACAACTTGCAAAAGAAAAGCTCCAAATAGGCAATCACTACCTCCAAAGATATGAGCAGGTAAACTGTAAACAATTCTGCGACCACCGAAGGAGTGTAACCGCACAAAAAGAATTAGGCCCCAATATCTAGATGGGAGAGCTTGAAAACTACAAGTTTCCCTTACTCGCACTATTGCTGTTGGACTATCGAATATGATGGCGGTATTTGGAAATATTGTGGAGAAACCAACACTACCAATACTATCGTGTGGCCTCCATAATGATCCTCATAGAAACCCTAAGGGAATTGCCCACCAAAGGTCAAAAATCCGTTTGCATCTACGCTTCTTCTCTGTGGGCAATGGAATGCACTACCGGAACAGCCAGTCTCCGCTCCATCTGTTGAAAGTTTCAAGAAAAGGCTAAGTAGTTATGCAGACACCCACGGTTTACGCACATCCGGTTGGAATACGAACTAGACCAAAGAAGTCAGCCGCTATCACACCATTCCAACTATGTTTCCTAGAAACCAGTTTTCTTTCTACTGCAGGCATTTAAGCCATTTTCATCCCTTTCACTCGCTATGAATTAGCCTCATATACCTAAGTTTTCTATACATTTGACCCCTCTCGTCTTATTTGGGTGTAAGCAGATTTCGCCATCAGTTCTTTATGCCTTAATCACACACATTTATCATCCTAGGTTATCTCTTTCCTATCACAAACTCTCTCTAATGACCAGTTGAAACAACTGTCCGGCAATTCAACATCTGAAAAACCCAAATGCAACGCAGCCTAAGGCAAACTAACTAACACTCAACATTCTAGTCTACATACCAGAGCTACGGCAGACAAGCGGCTGTATCTACTACATCGGAATCCACCAAAGACCTGGAACGGTTCCGCAAGATCCAGAAGAGACCACGAAGAAATCAAATGGTTTACACAAACTCGTTGAACAGATATTGGATACCGGGAGTGGTCGAGCAATGTAGTCCGTGATTTTAATTTTTCATGAAAAATTAGAAGCAGGCTATAGTCATAAAAGTTGCCTGAGAATACTGGATTTCAAAAACACACTGCTTTCGACCAAGTTTTTTGACGCGTACGCGTTTTCTGCGTTAAAAACATTTTTGTTTAATACTCAGAAATGCACGCCAATGTAATTAAAACCATAAAAGTAAAAACAGACTCCAAGAAGTACAAGATTAACATTATAGAACTTAAGACTAAGTCTATGTAGAATGTATACGTTTGCCATAGTATAAGCCAAACGCACAAAACAACATTAGGAAAAAACAGGAAAATGGATATCGCAATACCAACCAAATCCTCTCTGAGGTTTGAAACAGTCAGATAAAATAATCTTAAGGACTCCGAAAGGATAAGAAATATGAATAAGCACAATTCACTAGCAAAATAACCATTGACGAATGGCAGTACAGCCCCTTTAAGCACGAATGTAAGTATTTCTAGTAAAGAGAATGGCAAAACATAGTAAATGTTGCAAAGAAGTAAAACTTGGAGGACACCAGACGACCGTACAGAATTAACTTTCAAACTCGAATCACATTTGTTGTCCTTAGAACGCATTTGAAAACGTGCAGAGTTTTGGAAAATTAAAACAACCTGGTTGTCAGTGTTAAAAATTACTAGATGGCAGCTAATTCTTTAATGACGCTTATTACAGAAGTGAAGTGATTATGAAGGTTAACAATTTTGAACCTGCAATTTAGGCGGTAGTTTCAGTGTTGTATGCACAATGGCTAGCCAGGTTTGTACTATGTAGTATTTGGTTTTTCTTGGGTTATGGTTACGAATGCTCCTTATATATCGACCCCATAAAGGCACTCCCTCATCATCTAGTCAATTTTTTTCGCATGCGAGTTGCGACTTTAAGATTACGCAAGTACATTTTAGTAATAAGGATAATAGGCCATTTTTGTGTTTATGCTTTCAATAAATATCTCTTCTAAGATTAGTCGTTCACCACAATAGCATACAAGGGGAGATTAAACAGTACCAAAGTCAATATTAAGGATAGGGAACCCCAGTGTGAGACCACCCTTTTTCCTACGGTGACATAGAATAAGCTTAGTCTGTCTATTCATTCCTCATCGAGCAAATTCCGAATGGCAACAGTGAGCTTAGTGCCTGCCCTTCAAACACGTTCAGGTTCGCCGACACCCTTTTTTAAGCGTGGACTGGCCGCTTAATGCAATATTCCAAGTAGGGTCTAACGTAGGTAGAATACAGTATCCTGATGAAAACTTTCGAAAATTCTGCGGACGGACTACAATGCACAGAAACTCTTTGCTGCATCAAAGTGCCGAAGTCTTCAAATAGTCGCTTACAGCGGCACCTTAGTCTCATTTCAAGGGTCGAGAGTGGTCGTGTACCATCATCGAAATACCGGGAACGATTGCTATGACCAGTGTGCACTAGTACACTTTTCCTAGAGTTAATTTCCAGGTACCAACGTTTAGTCCCGCAAACTTGTTCATCCGTACCCACTTGTATAGCATATTCACCAACGTCACTACGTGTGACTCCAGACTTTTATGTAATCAGCGAATAGCAACACCAGAGAGTCAAGCATTTGCGGTAATTGGTTGACATTTAGCAAGAAAAGAAGAAGACCTAAAGTTGTTCTTTGAGGAACTCCACCTACTACAAATTCGAAACTAGACAGTGTCCCAGTAATTCTCACTCTACCTCCTATCGTCCAGTCCCTGATCCTACTTGCAGTGCAGCACGAAACCTGAAACAGTAGAACCTTCCTAGTTATTTTACATGGACTTTATCGAAAGCCTTAGTGAGGTCTGTGAACACAGTCTCTATAAGCAGATTACAATCGCTACCTGCAACCCATCCGTTTCTTGCGATTTGGTTGAACATGGCTGCCTAGTACAAAAACTGTTCCTGTGGTGCCAGAAAAGGATATAATTTGATATGTTCAAGTACCTCATCACTGCTGCTCTTATTTTGAACACATACTAAACTACCAAGTTACCTTGAAGAATAATTGCCTCAAGGCTACAGAAGTGCTGGTAAAAGGGGACCAAGTAATTACATTTCAGACAAAACAGTCTTTAACGACTGGTTTACGGACAAGATTCTCAGCCTCCACAGTTATCTGGATACCATAACTTAAAATAATACACTGACTGACTGATAAAAAGTAGAAACACATAGAAATGCATTGATTCAAGTTGCCACGCTTCACAGTAGTACACAAAAAACAAGTGAATAGAAAGGGAGTTATATCAAAATAGATTAAGTAGTGAGAGAATAAACAATCTGAAGATAAGGGTTAGCTTTATAAGATGTCAAGGAGTGAATATATGTCACCAAGATTCCTCAACTACTGATTCCTTTCGTCTTGTAGACACTGACCAGGCAGTCCACATCTCCCAACAGGGTTCAGACCAACAGTAAAAGACTTTATGGACTGATGCCAGGTTTTGGTCTGGCCACCTTGAACTCTCTTCCAACCTAGTCCAACTCCTCCAGCATGGGACGTCGAGGTAGGCGGTGGCTCCGCATGCGCAGTACATGTCCAAACCATCTCAGTCGACAGAGATTCACAACCTTGTCAATCGACTTGCTTCTCTTGCCTAGTACCTCTCTCCTGACCTCAACATTGTTCACATGGTGATTCCACTACACGCGAGAATTGTCACGAAGACACCTATGATCAAAACCCTGAAACTACATGTTTTCTACTTGTAGCGGCCATGTCAGCCACACAGGTTGGGGCCAGCTGCAGTACAGTATACTGGTCCTTTGATAGGTAGTCGGATACAGTCGCCTAACACTAACCATAGTTCTTGACCTAAAGGCGGCATTCGTCTTCGTCAGTCGAAAAGTCTTATGGCAGTGTGTGTCACTGTAAGGCGTGCCAAGTAAGTTCATCATTACGTTAAAGGCTCTGTACTTGAACATACGCGGGCGTGTTAGGTTTGTTTCTTTGATACACAGCATACAGTGATACAGCATTATTTACTTGGTGGCGTCTCAAGCGTAAATTACTGCTCATAATCCTATCAATTGAACCTATGGTGAGTTGTGAGGTGAATTGTATACGTCGAGTAGTGTCCATCAAGGATATCCACTCTCCGTTTTTAATTTTATCTTAGAAGTACTTATTGAGATCTCCCTTCTCGTTATGTGAATTCACAGGGTAATTCTTGGTAGATTTGGAAAATGCTAGTTAAAGACCCTAATAAGATACAGTCTTCTAGACAAATCGACTGGCATTTTGAGAATGTTCGGGTTGCGTTTTTCACCACCCAAATGCAAATTGTTTCTCCAGGACTGGTCTTCAGTAGTACCGTGTATGGCAATAAACAGTAAAGTGGTTGAGCATGTTGATCACTTCACCCTCTTCGGGAGTCGGACCAGTTCTGGTGCGTCAGTGATGGATGGAATCTCTGCAGGAATACAAAAGGCTCGCTGGGCTTCCGCCATTTATGGTGCCTCCCCTGTATCCGGTTGTTTATTAAAGGCGGAGTACATTGCGCTGCAGTCCTCTGTGTTCTGTTGTAAGGTTGTGAAACATGGCAATCAAAGGTAGGGGATATGAGAAGTCTTCAGGTATTTAATAATCGTTGCCTTCATAGCGTAGGCCGTGTCATGGTGTTACTACCTCAGTAATGCAAAAGTCAGGTGTAGAGCTTTGGGTATAAAACGAAAATCAGTTAATAAGGTCATGAACCCTCATTGACTCAGGTGACTGGGATGTGTTACGTGTGCTTAGTCACCATCTGCCTCGTCACGCAATGTTAACTGAACAGTAGATTCGGGCTGGAAAAACGTTAGGGGCGGTCAAATTAAAATTAAATTGTCTGAGCCTTGTAGCGAATGCAGACTTCCCGGTTAGTGTCTGCGGGACAACATAAACCAGTAGTTGTATACTCTGGGTGGTATGACTCAGAATCGATGTTAGTGATGCAAATGTATCCACATATTATTTTCATCTTAATCATCATACTGAACTTAGGTGTTGTCTGACTCTTCCTTTCGACTGCTTTCTTTTTTTACTTTTTAATCGTTCATCTTGGTGCATTCTTGCTTAATGTACTGATGCGATGTAGCAGCTTAGACCCCTACGCATCAATATTGGGTCCTATGTTGACATTGTCTGTCCGTCTGTTCCTAAGTACTCACTTGACGTTCATCTTCCATTCGAGCACACAGAATTTTAACTTCTGTCTGTTTGTTTTACGTAGTAAGACAAGAACGTACACATACCCGTACTAACGCATAATCGAAGTTCAAGCACGCACTGAACAAACGGTAACAACGCTCTAGTAGTGATTAGTTCTGAAATACCTTATCTGTCCCCATCGTTGGTTCGTTGTCGGTGAATGCCGAGACAGTATGTATGACGTAAAGTCATTGCCAACCAGAAACAAGAGAATATCAGAACAAAATTGTAAAAAACGATTGCCGTTTTCGGTCTTTTGTCATGATTTACCTTAGTTACTTCTTATATGCCATCGGAGTTGGCTTGATTTCCCTACTTTAGAGTTAAATTCGCCTGCTAGTGTGATTATTTGTATATTTTGTTTGTGCTGTGAAGTTTCTTTAGCGGTTAGATTTGTTTAACAGGGTAGGGTTACTAGCCCTTTGCCCAACCTTCCCTCTTTACCCGGGCTTAGGGCCGGCTAGTAACTAGTGAACTAGTTAACCAGGCGAGGTTGTGTGAAATTTTTGTTCCATGTAGTGAAGTTGACATGTTCTGACCGGTTTCATCCTTTGTTTCGTCCAAATTGGATTCGGTGGGTGCGTTAGAGGTTACGAATAGGTATCTGTGAGTATCATGATCCTTCCCAACTCTTACAGATTCATGTAGTCAGTCAGCGCACAAACAGCTGTTGACGGATATCCAGTCGAGACGTACGCTTTCTGCTTTACAACTTAACCCCGTACCTACTACAAAGAGTCCACAAGAACTAGCCATTGTATCTCCAGACACAGAGTGAATTCTGCAGATTCAGCTCATTTTTCAGGTGAGATCAAGTGAGTAACTATAACTGGTTCCTGTATAGTTATCCCAGAGTAGGATGAAGCTCTATTTTGAAAGCCGATCTGTTGTAACCTCCTATTCATATGGGAAAGGCACCATTAACACAAATTTCTGGTTATCTGTGGGAAACACGCTATTTTCAAACCCCATTAAACCAGCAGTTCGAACCCTTACCATAGGGTAAGCTATTGACACCATAATGGTAACTGCTTCTATTCTTACCATTATCCAACACACCCTTTTTTCACAATAGAGCCTTAAGGAAGAGTCGTTGTTGCCAGCATGGCTCGTTGGGTTATTGCAGTATGAAGACCCGAACACCACGCCAAAATAGCAACTATGTTGGTCGAGATATCTTTTTCGCCCTCCACATACCCACTTACTGCAGTTTAATCAGTGACTTTTAGAGCTGTTCGTAATTCTAGTCTTATTTCTTTGTCGTTCTTCTCGTTAACCTTTACTTTTGCATATGAATTCAACGTGGATCAACTATGACTAATGTCATGTGCTGTGTCCTCTATGTCTTCCTGTTTGGACAATGTTAAGCTTTACGGGAAGCTATCTGACTTACAAAACCCGCAACAGCTTTGGTGTAGTTGTCAGTGTTTGAAATTTCAGTTTGTAAAGTGACACCTAGATAGTTGTGACTAATTAGTAAATTTATGCTGTTAGTTACAGGTTCCTAAATATCGCCGGTTGTAGGCATATGATGTGAAATTATTGCTAAACCCAAAATTGCTTTCATCGTAGTCCGCGATTCATACATATGGGCTTGTTCATTCGCAGAAATTATCGTTGTTTAGGTATCGTGTGATACTTGATGAGTTATACAGCCTCGTAAACTTATTCTTATTATCTTAAAATGCTGTGTTCTTTTGCATTCTTAAACGGTATATTACTTATCCAAATATATTACATGTGCTTCTAGTCCAGTTTTCCTCTTTTCTACAGTACAAACTGAGCTCTTCACAACGTGATCGCGTTAAAAAATTTAATGCTATCACGCGAAGTTCTGACAAGGTTGCTATTGATTTCCTTCAGATGAGTAACTGGAGACTAGAACAAGCTGTAGATTATTTTACCGACAAAACCCTGCTCCCACTGGACCTTCAGTCAATGAAGCGAAAATTGATCAGCTTTTCCAGCGTTATCGTGGTAGGTCCTAGTCTGAGTAGCAGTATGGACATAAGTCCGTCAATAACTATTTCTTTAATTACTTTTTTGGAATACAATGACTCACTGATTACTTTTTGTGAAAGTGTGACTCAAAGGCCTGGAAACTGAACTTTCATATCTTGTCCAACGTAATTCGACCCGGGCAATCGGATAGTACCATTAACCATTTAGAGTGTGGTTCACGACCTAGTACACAGACACCTGTACCGGATTGAGTTGTATTACATGAACCACCTTTCTTTCTGTATGTGTGTAAATGCCAGTTATTCAAACTCAAGATAAAGGTCCTGGTAGATCACAGGACAACTTCTTTGCAAGTTCTTCATGCAGTTTTGTTTTTGATTCACCATATCCACTCAAGATTCCCATCAAAATCTGTATCGATCCCAAAAAAACATATTTTCGTACTTCTTCACCACTAAATCCTGCCGTAAGGAAGTTTGCAACAAGTCAACAAAACTCAAAGTCAAGTGGTTGCTGGACTGACTGTATTGTGTTTGCTTTACGTTCACTTTTCTAAATTAAAAGTTCTTTCTTGACACTAAAGTTTCTAACAACTAAGTTAAATATTCTTCTAGGATTCCCTGTTAAATGTATTTTCGATATCATTCTTACCAATATTATCTGTTTACTGTCACCTTAAGAGAATGAAAGATGAAAGAATTCACACAACCTCTTTTATCACAATCAAATAAATCGAACCGAGTAAGATTGAAACTGACATTAGTTTACCCTGCAAGTAAAATATTGTGTAAAATAATAATTTCATGTTGTGTATGGTCGTTTTAATCTGTTAGTTGGTTAGACCTGATGAGCAAAAAGCAGACAATATCCTACAGTATCAATAGTTTATAAAATTGAGAAAACGTTGATGACATATCGCATGATTCCTATATGTAAGCCGCAAATTTCATCGTAACAGGGATTGCTTGAAACACCTGGGTTATATTCACTTTAGAATTAGCAAGGAAACCGAAATATAGTTGATTTATTAATCACTATCATTAAATTTATTCCTATCTATCAATATTCCCGTTCAGGTCAGTTATACGGAGTTTTTTTTAGCCTTGTCATGATATTTCTTAGGTTTTTGAATATCTGGTTTATGCAATAAATTTAGTGCATGATATCCAACCCTTTAGTCTACTTCTGTTCAGTTTCCTGATATTGTTAAGCTTGTCTCAGAAAAAAAAATAGACACATTAACTTGCTATAAACAGTGCATAACTTAGTCTGGTACATATTGGGCTAGGCTATTAGCCACACTGATTATAAACGCTGTAATATCAAACCATGCCCATGTTCGTGTAGCTATTATTAATATCGTATTTCAAGAGTAATTCTATAAACGAATAAAATAGTTATATTCTTTTAGTTTTAACTGTACTAAACGTTGCCATTCCCTTTGTGTATGTGATATAGATCCTCAGTGTCCTGATCGCATACTGGCCACAGGAATGGAACGATTTCTCATCACAGATCTTCATATTGATCCAGAAAGCCTAATAACATTAATCCTAGCCTGGAAGTTTTCAGCAAAAACTCAAGGTGAATTTACTCGTGAAGAGTTCTTTCGAGGTTTTCGAGATTTAGGGTAAGTTGTTCTCGCATGTTTCCTTTTTGATTTCATATTTGACTCTCTTCTAACAACCAAACTTCTGTGCCTCAAACATTTATCAATTCAGCGAATAATTTGATGCAATAACAATAAATGATCAGAAATTATTCTGTCATAACCCTACGATGTAAGAAAAACCACTTAGTATGGATTATCTAAAAGCCAAAAAACTTAATAGCTAGTTTGTTTCTACCTAATTTGAAGCCTAACAATATGTTGCACTCAGAAAATTTTAAGTTGATATTTGGCGTTCTATGTATTATCCCGTCGTTTATTGGATGGAATTGATCGGTCTCTATTGGTATATGGACTCCTATGTGGATACCTTGGTGTTGCTTGTCGTTTCAATTTTGATATTAATGATAGGTAATGGTTAACAGTGGAATCCAGGACGCACGTTTCGCCCAATTTGAGGCTCGTCAGCTGGATGTACCTATCTCTTGGTGAGCGATATTGTTCCCTCTAGGACTCGAACCTGTGACCGGTCGCTTACAATTATTATATTATTATTATTATTATTATTATTATTATTATTATTAGTCCTTTGGGTTCCTAATGAAACATAGGGCTTCAGTAGCACGTCTCCACTCCACTCTGATCTCTGCAAACTTTTGAACCTGGTTCCACAACAGTCCAGAAGCTCCCATTTCCTCCTCACACCATCTCCTCCATGTCACCCTCACCTCTGACGCCCAACTCGTCGCTTCCCATGGGGATTCCACTCGAGTACCTGGCCTGACGCGTAATGTCCCCAGTCGGCCTTCTCAGTGTATGCCCAATCCATCTCCACTTCCTTCCAGTGCATATTTGTTGAGCGATAGGTTCTTGCTTCGTTGGTTCGTTCCAAGAGTTAGTTCCTTGTTGCTTATTCTTTCTGGCCATCTGATCTTCAATAACGAGACAGCGTAGACGGCAGTTGTTGATGAATATCTGTAGTTTGTTGGAAATGCCTTTCGTAACGCGCCAAGTCTCTGAACCATATAGAAGTACTGACTTGACTGATGTTGGTGTTGGAAATCCGTATTTTGTTCCACATGCTGAGTGCAGATCTCCACACTGGTTTCAGGTTAATGAACGCTGTCTTGCTGTATTCCCGATTCTGACTTTGACATCCTCGTCTGTGCCTGTGCTGCCTGTAGTTGAAACAGTGCTTCCTAGATAGGTGTAGGTGAAGGAGGTTACTTCCTTTAAGTTTCTCCCGTTGATGGTGACTGGAGTTTGTTGGTGGTGTTGGTTGAGTATCTTCATCACTTCTGTCTTCTCTATATTCACATTAAGTCCCGTCTTCGCTGCCCTGCTTCTTCTGTCAACTTGTTAGTTTTCGCCTGTAGATCTTCAAGTTTGTGTGACATTAGACACAAGTCATTGGCGAAATCCAAATCTGCTGGGTTCTTTTCCGCAGTCCAGCCAGCGTATCCCCCTCTTCTCGCTTCCCACTGTTTGCTGCATGATTCAGTCCAGTCCACTACAATCAAGAATATCATGGGTGATAGTAGACAACCTTGTTTCACTCCTGTCTTCACTTCAAAAGCATCACTGAGCTTCCCATTGTGAATTACTTGCCATGTGGCGTCTTCATATACTTGTTGAATGAGATTCATAAAGGTTTGTGATATTCCGTAGTGTTGAAGCAACTGCCAAATTACTTGTTGGTCGACTCTGTGAAAGGCCTTTTCACAGTCGGTGAAGTTGAGGTGTAGAGTTGACTGCGATTCTATACTCTGTTGTATGATGATGCGTAGTGTAGTGTTGCAATTTGATGCTCACATGATTTGTACTTGTGCGGACCAAATTGCTTACAATGCCAGAGCGTTATCGTGACTCGGTGAACTAGTGAGCGGCGCTCTCGGTTTTGAAGCGACCGGTCCCAAGTTCGAGTCTTAGTGGGAACAACATTGCTCATTGGGAGGCGGACACACCTAGCTGACGAGTTCAACTCAGGACGAAACACATGTACTGGATTTCACTCCTATCTACTATCCATCATATATAAGTTGAAAGCATCAAATCCACGAGATATTGTTATCAAAAATGAAAGTGAAAAGTTTAAATTGCCAAGACTGACATTTATATCTATTAGTCGTGATTTGACGGTACTGTTAACCAGTATATGGGAATCAAATACGATCCCCTCTGACTGGTCTAAATCACTGATTATTCCAGTCTTCAATAAAGGCGAGAAGTCCTCATGTGATAACCACAGAGGAGTCAGCCTGGCGAACATAGTGTCTAAGATTCTAGGTTCCATAATTCTTCGACTCCTGGGTGGAGCTCAGGAACAGCAATCCCGAGAAAACAAGGCAGGCTTAAGACTCAGCCTCGGGTGCATTGAGCAAATATTCACATTGCGCCGGGCTCTGGAACACAGTCACGCTTACCGACACCAGCTATATTTCTCGACCTGAAGGTGGTATTCGACTCCTGTGATCCAGAAGTCTTATGACAATGTCTCTCACTGAAAGGCGTGGCGAGTAAGTACATTACCTTATCGAAGGCTGTCTACTCATACACTTGTGAGCTTGTTACAGCCTATGATGAGATATCCAAGGTGCTATACTCGTCCAATGTGTCCGTCAAGACTGTCCACTCTCTCCATTCTTATTCAATTTTATCACAGATATTCTTATGGAGGTCTCCCTCTCGTCACCTGATTACACAGAGATTAACCTAATCGCGGGAGAATTTTTGTTTGACCTAGAATGCGCAGATTTCGCAGATGATTTGTGTCTGATATCGCACAAGCAAAAACCAACAAGTTGACAGAAGAGGCAGCGAAAACGGGACTTCAAGTGAACGTAGAGAAAACAGGTGATGAAAATACCCAACCACCAACAACAAGCACCAATCACCACCAACCGGAGAAATCTAAAGGAAGTTGTCTCTTTCACCTACCATAGGCACCCAGCATCGTCTTAACCACAGGTGGCACAAGCACAGATGAGAACGTCAAAGCCAAGACCGGAAAGACAGTAACACAGGCATTCCTTCATTAATCTGAAATCACTGTGGAGGTCTACTGCACTGCACTCCACTCCACTCCACTCAGCTTATAGATCCGGATTTTCAACACTAATTCAGTCAAGTAAGTCAGTCAGTGCTTCTATGTGATGCTTCAGACACTTGGTGCGTTACGAAAAGCATTGCCAACTAACTACACACATACATCAACAGCTGCCACCTACGCTCACTCGATACTGAAGATGGAGATCAGATGGTCAGAATAATAAGAATAAGCAACAAGCAACTCTAGCTGGCTGGCTGGCTTGCTGGCAACGAACCAACCAACCAACAACCAACCCACAGTCAAACAAATATGTACAAGAAAGTGGAGATGGATTGGGCATACACTAAGAAGACCATTCAGGGACATCACTTGCCAGGTCAGGTCGTCGAGTGGAACCCAAAGAGGAGACGACGAGTTGGGCATCCGAGTGTGACATGGAGGAGATGATGTGAGGAAGAAATAGAAGCTTGTGGGCAGTGGTAGAGTCAGGTTGAAAAGACTGTAGGGAAGAGTGTGAAATGGCTATGTGCTACTGAAGCCCTATGTCCCACTAGGAACCCAAGGGGCAAATAATAATAATGATAGAATGCGCAGGTGACGTAGTCCTATTAGGTCAAGACGCTGACAAGATGCAGTCTTCTGAACACTGAGTGGCGATTTGAGAATGTTTGGGATGCGTTCTCCACCGCCCATATGCAAATTGTTGCTCCAGGATTGGTCTTCAACGGTGCCTCGGCCAAAAATAGAACGTGTAGTGGTTAAGTGTGTCTACCACTGGGAAGTAGGATCAACCCTAGTGGCTCAGTGGCTGACGAAATTTCTGCACGAATACAAAAGGCTTGACCGGCTTTTGCTAATCTACGCCACCTGTGGCGCCACCGTGATATCCGATTGTCTATTAAGGGTCACGTGTACTGCACAGCAGTCCGCTCTGTTCTACTCTATGACTCTGAAACATGGCCATTGAGGGTGGAAGACATGATAAGGCTTCAAGTGTTTGACCACCGTTTCTTTCGTAGTATAAACCGTATTCCGTGGTGTCACCACGTGAGTAACGCAGAAGTCGGGTGTAGAGTTTTAAGGAGTAGAGGTAAATTAGTTGATGGGGTTATGCACCATTTTCTCATTCTTCATTTCTCTCTTTCCGTACTTTATTCTCCCTTTGACCGAATTTTCTTTTCTTAATCTTCCACTTCATTGTCTTTTTACTTGATGTACTGATATGCGCTGTGACAACTCTGACTATTATGCAGCAAAGCCTGGTCCTTTATTGATAGATGATGATGATTAGTCGTGATGAAAATTTCACTTTATTTTTTAAAGTGAGTAAAGTATTTGTAGTTAGGTTCACAACTTTACTCTTTAAGAACCCATATTATACTTGAGAGGAGTTTAATCAATAGCTATTCAGTAACTTTATTGGACGTGTAACAGTGCAAGTTGTATGAAATGTAAGTTTTTCATATATGTACTTAGTATTCTATTAAAACAACTGTCATATGTCTTTGCTAAATGTGTATCACCTGACTAAGTTATCTCCTACTATAAAAGTGGATGTATTACTCAGAATTTTAGCATATCTATATTCTTTCAGTTTAAATCAACTATGATGATGATTACTGATGATCAGTGATTCAAAAGTTTCCTTCATATTTGAGTATCGTTGAATTATTCATAGTATATAGGCTATTTAATTTGAGGTCTCTAATAGATGTAACAAAAGATATGTTTATACACAGATTTTTACAAGATAGAATAGTCGTATTCAGTTCATATTTATCCTCTAAGGTGACTTTCTTAAACTTTTGTTTCCTATGCGTCATTCGCCTCCTATCTAATAATTTCAATGTGGGTATGAAATAGGATAAAACTGTGTTCATTTGGAAAATAATTTTCCTTTTTACTCAAATCCTGTATGCTGACAATATTCAAAGGTGTTCTAATAGACAAGCTTATTAGATTTTTAGCTTCGTTAATTCTATATTCAACTTCATTTCTAAAACTTGTCATTACAATATGAACTAAACATTATATTCTGTTAAGACAAACTGTACAATTATTATTATTATTTGTCCCTTGGGTTCCTAATGGGACATAGGGCTTCAGTAGCACATCTCCACTCCACTCTGATCTCTGCAAACTTTTGAACCTGGTCCCACGACAGCCCAGAAGCTCCCATTTCCTCCTCACACCATCTCCTCCATGTCACCCTCACCTCGGACGCCCAACTCATCATTTACCATCTGGGTTCCACTCGAGCATCTGGCCTGGCACGTGATGTCCCCAGTCCGCCTTCTCAGTGTATGCCCAATCCATCTCCACTTCCTTCCAGTGCATATTTGTTGAGCGATAGGTTCTTGCTTCGTTAGTTCGTTCCAAGAGTTAGTTCCTTGTTGCTTATTCTTTCTGGCCATCTGATCTTCAATAACGAGACAGCGTAGACGGCAGTTGTTGATGAATATCTGTAGTTTGTTGGAAATGCCTTTCGTAACGCGCCAAGTTTCTCAATCACCATATAGAATCACTGACTTGACTGACGTTGGTGTTGAAAATCCAGATGTTGTTCACGCTTTATGCTGAATGCGGTGCAGAAGATCTCCACACTGGTTTCAGGTTAATGAACGCTGTCTTGCTGTCTTTCCGATGCTGGCTGGCTGGCTTTGGCATCCTCGTCTGTGCCTGTGCTGCCTGTAGTTGAAACAGTGCTGTCTAGGTAGGTGAAAGAGGCTACTTCCTTTAGGCTCTTCCCGTTGATGGTGATTGGAGCCTGTTGTTGTTGCTGTTGGTGGTGTTGGTTGGGTATCTTCATCACTTCTGTCTTTTCTACATTCACTTGAAGTCCAGTCTTCGCTGCCCTGCTTCTTCTGTCAACTTGTTAGTTTTCGCCTGTAGATTTTCAAGTTTGTGTGACATTAGACACAAGTCATTGGCGAAATCCAAATCTGCTGGGTTCTTTTCCGCAGTCCAGCCAGCGTATCCCCCTCTTCTCGCTTCTCACTGTTTGTTACATGACCCAGTCCACTACAATCAGGAATATCATGGGTGATAGTAGACAACCTTGTTTCACTCCTGTCTTCACTTCAAAGGCATCACTGAGCTTCCCATTGTGAATTACTTGCCATGTGGCGTCTTCATATACTTGTTGAATGAGATTCATAAAGGTTTGTGATATTCCGTAGTGTTGAAGCAACTGCCAAATTACTTGTTGGTCGACTCTGTGAAAGGCCTTTTCACAGTCGGTGAAGTTGAGGTGTAGAGTTGACTGCGATTCTATACTCTGTTGTATGATGATGCGTAGTGTAGTGTTGCAATTTGATGCTCACATGATTTGTACTTCTTGAAACCAGAATCTGTACAATACTCAATCATAAAGTGAAATTTTTCTCTTTTTTCCAAATTCATTTACAACAAGAGTATAGTTGTAATTCAGAGACATGAAGCTTCTGTGTATTATATATCCTTTTCCGTATTCTATTTCTCAAACCTGCATAAATGAACTCAAAAGCAAAGCTATTTTAATATTCATTTTTCAAAAGCTCTGCACCCCTATGACAAATTCTAAACCATATCACCTACAATCTCATCAGATATTTTGATTGTCATGTGAATCTCAATCGGAACTAAATAGCTACATCGATTACGTACTGGTTGCCAATTCTTATGACTATAGTATATCAGTAACCTCAAAATTGTTGTAATACATAGATAGATCCACCGTTTTACACTTTATAATTTTTTTATCCTTTGTAGACTTAAACTTGTCTCTAAATTCCATTGGTATAGAAGCTGTACCTTATTAATTAAATATCATTTACCCTTCTGTAAAATAGGGCAGTAATAAGCAAGCAATGAAAACTACAAGATCATTCATACGCCTTATCATCCAGTACAGAATTATCATAACTGTCTAGAAGAATGTCGTAGAATAACTACATAAATATAGATTAAAACTGGAAGTGTTTCACAAGAAAATATGTTAGACTGCATTACATAAAACATGAATACGTGTTTAAACCGTCAATATTTTATAAGGTTAAATCACTGTTAGAAAGTAACCAAATTCAGTGTTATCAAAAACGTTCTTTTCCCTTACTGCTAAATGTTTTTTTTTCCGGTTCCAGGTTTTCTATACGCTTTTAAGAGAAAGTAGTTTTTGAATTAATTTGTAAAGAAGTATACCGTTGCTTTTTTTTCTTAAACTTATGTTGTCAGAGACCGTATACTTCATTAGACTTGACGAAGTATAAACACTTGTTTTAATTGTATATAGTAAAGCTACTTTTTGATACACTAGTAAAATATTTGGTGCACTGTATCTGCTGAGTAAATAAATAACGGCATATATTTTGTCTAATTGAATTTACCGAAAAGGACTCAAGGCTGGCTAGACACTAGCCAATCCAGTCCCTGACTGTTGATCTAAGTCATGTAGGGGATGTAGACTGGTCTAGCTAGGGTTCCCGAGATAAAAGGGATTAGTGGTTAAGGGCTCTCGGTGACATGGTTGAAAATCGAACACAACGGCGCAGATATATTCACTCCTTAACGTCGTCTAAAGACTGAATATTCAAACTACAGTTTCTCTCTCATCACTTAATCTATTTTGATATCACTCCCTTTCCATTCACCTGTTCTATGTGTACTACTGTGAAGTGTAGCAACTTGAGTCGATACACCTGTGTATGAGGTTCTACGTTGATTTTATCATTCAGTCATTTACCGACATAATGTTTATGCTGCTTTTCAAAAATTGGATGTCATGTTTCCAAGATTTATCATCATTCAAATCACAGGTGAGTTAAAAAAAAATACTCTAATTTACAATCAGTAAACATAAACATTGAACATTGAATAGTTGCAGTATAAAACTAAATTGTATGATGTATCTTATACTAATGGTTTATGCACTGAATCCTTCTTTCTGTTTGATCTAGTTGTGATTCAATTGACTCCTTACGTAATAAACTCCAAAGTTTATTAAGTGAAGTGGAAGATAAACAAGCATTCCGTTCCCTGTACCTATTCACTTTTGGCTTTGCTAATTTGGATAAGCATGAAAGTAAATCACTCGGTAAGTGAATTCATTTTAAAACCTTAACATATATACTCATATCCTCTCACTTCTTCTAGCCAATGTTTTTTTTTTCTAATGCATATGAGAGTAGTCGTCTCAATGTTTACCATTTTAAACGGTTCAAAAAACAACAAGTGTACCAGGATAATACTAGCTGTTTCATTATTTCAAGTATTCTCCTCAAGTTGCTTACTTCTTGAATAATATCAAAATGATGTTATGTATTGTAAAAATTAAACATACTTTTATCTAGTTGTCAAGACGTTATGAATAAGACTAACCGATAGGTGAATAATGTAAATAATAAATTTAAAGGATATGGGCTTAAAAATATAAGAAAATTGAAGTAAATGGAAAATAAGTATTATAAATACTTTGAATTTACAAAAGCTTGAAAAGTAAGATGAACAGCTTTCAGATAAATTCGGTGGTCTAGTGGATAACGATTGGGCGTTTGAAGCTATCAATCCCAAGTTCGAGTCCCGGTGGGAATAACATCACTTACTGGGAGGCAAGTATATCCAGCTGACTAGTCCCAAATAGGAGGAAACGCGCGTCTTGGATCCCACCGCTAGCCACTATCCATAAATTCTTATTGTTTGCCGCTTAAATAATCTGAAGATAAACCGATGACGAATCTACAGTTTCCATTTATTAAATCACCTGAACCATTGTGCTGGAAGAAATTGTGTCCTCGTTTTCTATCTTATTTCTCTGACTTCGTCTTCTGATTTCCTTGGTTATTATCAACCTGATTAAATTTGTATAACTGAAAACTAACAATTTCTTGTTCGAACTGATTATTCATTAAAACTTTGAAACAGAATACAGTGTCACTGTATAATATACCCACCAAGTATAAACGCTTATATGAATCACCTCTCGTCTACTTAGTTGAGCAACAATCACTGCTTATTTGTACTCATTCAGCAATATCTTCAGGCGGCAACTTACTGAATCTTGGTGTAAGATATCACTTTTGTCAGTGACATATACTGAGAAGCCACTTAGCATCCAGTGTTATCTTTCAGCGTTATTTTGTATATGAAGTGTTTACCTAAAGCATTTGCCCACTATTAAATTATTCAAGAGGCTGTTGATGTTATATGCAGTCACTATGGCGTCTTTGATGCCCATCAATATTTTTAAGTAGGGGCTTCATTTTTTATGGATTTGTTCAAAATATAAACTTTTCTCCATTCCACATAGATAGATTTCGATAATTGATCGGTATTTTCTGGGTTTCGATGTTTGTTCTTGTATGTTTCATCACTATGCTAGATGACTTCATCAGTATTTACTTTATGATGTAAATGCTCGAAGAATACCAAATAATAATCATCCTCATCCTGAGCTACAAACCTACTCTACTATCTCAAAATTGATTTTCATAATGTTATTGTATTAATAAATATTTTGTTTATGAAAAGCGGTATTTACAAGGTTTTTCAATTCTTTTCAGATTTGTTTATCTATTTATCTTTCGTAAAGATATAAGCTAAACAATAAGTAAACAGCATTTACCAAGCGAACGTTGATTCAACTTCTGTCTTAAGAACCATACGTCTTATGTTTCAGTGTTTTGATCTATTTCTTAATGAGTAATTAACACATACTTAACTTGATGATAAGTGTAGCATCAAGCAATCTGTATGATTTAAATGGGTGTAACTGCTGTGGTATGCAGCTTTACTTTCTGACTAAAATGTTCAGATCTGTATTTATTGTATGAACTGTGTTACCTTTTCTTTTATCTCATAGATGATCTTATTACAGTCCATTTATCTCTTCACGATGAACCCACTTTGTTAACTAGTTATATCAGAGTTAGTAGAAACTGGAACTCAAAACCCACGTGCAGATTGACTCTTTAGGCTAAATCATACCTTTAGTGTTAAAACCAATGACCTCATCTTAGTAGGCTGCAAATCAGTGATGCAAGACATATTTATATGTTAGATAGTGAACCACACTCTCCCAGTTGTCTAGGTCGATATAAGTAGACAGTGGTTTATACCCTGAAACCATTGCTAACTAATCAATTGCTCAAGCTGATGAACCATAACCACATGGCGTACTAAGTTAACACATTTCATTTAATAAGTTGAAGGGGATTCTTACCCTTGCCACTCTAGGTTAAAAGTTGAATGCATCAACCAATAAGTTATAGTTATTTTCAATCACTATGCTAACGGTTTTTCCCACTGTTTCTTTGTTATAATTGTGTATATCCACAGTTCTTCAGTATGCCATTCCCTATTGGGAAATCCTCCTACGTGGCCGATTTTGCCACTTATCTCTGTGGTTCAAATTCCTGCAAGTAAGTCTCAATATTTACCACTCCATTATTTAAACAATAAGAGATGCTTTCAATTGAATAGAGATTGCAGTAAACTATTTCGATGTGTAATGAAAATAAAACAGTGTTAATGATGTGTGGTTATTAAGGTATTAGTTAAAAGTTTCTCTCTGTTTTGACCTCATAGTAACTGTGGTCACTATGTCAGTCAATGTTCGAGGCTTATTGGTTAAATTTCAAATATGTTTGTTATTTCTTGCTAGAGATTTTGGTTGATTCATTTTGCCATTAAATGTTTATGCGTGTTGTACAAGGCAACCTTACTAATAAACCATTTACATTTTTACCGTCATTATTAGACCCTTGAGTTCTTAATGGGAACATAAGGCTTCAGTAGCACATAGCCATTTCACACTCTTCCCTACAGTCTTTTCAACCTGACTCTACCACTGCCCACAAGCTTTCATTTCTTCCTCACATCATCTCCATGTCACACTCGGATGCCCAACTCGTCGTCTCCTCTTTGGGTTCCACTCGACGACCTGACCTGGCAAGTGATGTCCCTGAATGGTCTTCTTAGTGTATGCCCAATCCATCTCCACTTTCTTGTACATATTTGTTTGACTGTGGGTTGGTTGTTGGTTGGTTGGTTCGTTGCCAGCAAGCCAGCCAGCCAGCTAGAGTTGCTTGTTGCTTATTCTTATTATTCTGACCATCTGATCTCCATCTTCAGTATCGAGTGAGCGTAGGTGTCAGTTGTTGATGTATGTGTGTAGTTAGTTGGCAATGCTTTTCGTAACGCGCCAAGTATCTGAAGCATCACATAGAAGCACTGACTGACTTACTTGACTGAATTGGTGTTGAAAATTCGGATCTATAAGCTGAGTGGAGTGGAGTGGAGTGCAGTAGACCTCCATAGTGAATTCAGATTAATGAAGGAATGCCTGTGTTACTGTCTTTCCGTTCCTGGCTTTGACGTTCTCTTCTGTGCCTGTGCCACCTGTGGTTGAAACGATGCTGGGTGCCTATGGTAGGTGAAAGAGACAACTTCCTTTAGATTTCTCCGGTTGGTGGTGATTGGTGCTTGTTGTTGTTGGTTGGGTACCTTCATCACCTCTGCCTTCTCCACGTTCACCTGAAGAAAATCTCATCTTCGCTGTGCTGCCTCTTCGAGTTTGTGCGACATTGGACATAAATCATCATCGGCGAAATCCAGATTTTCTAGGTTCTTTTCATCGGTCAAACAGCGTATGCCCATCCTCTCACAGCTACTCGCAGTTTCTTGCATGATCCAGTCCATCACAATCCGGAAGGTGATAGTAGGCGGCAACCTTATCTTATTTCTATATTCACTTCAAAGGCATCACTGAGCTTTCCTTTGTGAATCACTTGACATGTAGCACCATATAGCATATGGCTGCTGCTGAATGAGGTTGATAAGGGTTTGTGGCACTAAAACCTTAGTGTTGAAGCAGTTGTCAAATTACTTCTTGGTCGACACGTCTATCGAAGGCCTTTCCAAAATCGACGAAGTTGATGTAGAGTTGAGTTGACTACCATTCTATGCTCTGTTCTATGATGTTGCATAGCGATGCAATTTGATCCATATATGATTTGTTTTTCCTGAAACCAGCCTGCTGCGATCGTAATCCTGAATCCAGAGCATTTTTTAGTCTCTCCAGGATAATGTGGCGTAATATTTTGCTTGGTGTGGATATGATCATGATTCTGTGCCAGTTCTTGCAAAGACTTAGGTCACCCTTCTTTGGGAGTTTGACAAAGTATCCCTTCTTCTAATCAATCGGCGCGTGCCTTTCCTTCCTTCCAAACCTTCTGCAATAAGTGGTGTGAGCATAGACCACTTACGTTTTGTAACTGTAACCTCTGATTAGGACGAGTGCTCCATATCCGAATATTTTCTGTTAGCGTCATCTATCTTATGGTCCAATAAGTCATCGAATTCTTCGGTTATTTTTTTTAAATATCACCATTTCACATCTACTCTCTCGACAAGAAATGCCTACAGTATTTACCTCAAAACCAAGTAAAATAATGTTCGACCAAATAAGCATGTTTTCAGCCTAACGGAAATTGTCAGTAAAACGGCTGACTAGACATTGACCAAGCATTTGAATAAAGCACATTTAAGAAAATAAAAGTAGAAATACACTAATGTGAACCCATAGTATATGAAATGCGATGTATTCACTTTAATACCTGGTGTAATAGAAAATTATATGACTTTCCAAGTTACTCAAGGCTTCGTCTTCAACGATGCCTTACAAGGATTTTATATAACTGTTTTTTTTCAATTGTTGGAATAAAATACGAATGGTTGTTTAATCCCTTTTTCTGAATTGCTTTATTGGTGGAAATGTGGTGCTATTCACCTTGAATCATTTCATTTATGTTTTGCCTATCTCTGAAGATTTTTTTTTCACCGATTTAAACGTTATCGGATCCAATTTTTATTCACCTAGCATTAGAGACGATTTTAATCACATAACTTTCAACTTCCTCCTCAGATTGGATTGAATTTCTTTATTCCTTATACTTGGTATGTCTTTACTCAATTATCCTTTAAAATTCGCTGTTTTTCTGGATTTTTTTTTTCACTCTAAGCTCTTTGGGGTTGTCACCAATTTTACATCAGTAAAAATCTTATTGTGAGTTTCATCTGAGATTTTGCTTAATGTGATAATATACTGAGCTTTTATGCTCTTGAAGAATTTGTATTATTGTACTATTAATGTTGATTGTTACCCTCCTTTATTATCTGAAATCGTCAGGAAAGTATTCTTCCAAATAACATCCTCCCAATCAAGACGACGATCATATTTATCAATGTATTTTGAGGAAAGTGTTATCATATCATCACTTTCTGCTTCTATAGAGTGATCAATTCTGTATGTTTGATTTTTCCTGTATTTACTGAATGCTTCTTCGCACAAAATACTTTGAAGAATTTCGTTGATTTGTAGGATACACTTATTCTAAGTTATCACAATAGTCTATCCTCAATGCTTCTGACTTCTTATGGAATGATTCTTTTGTTTAATATTGTTGCTGAATTGGTACACATTTAGAGTAGACATTTCTGAATGAAATTCCCCAGGTACAAGCTTTGATTAAACTTAACATGAGTCAAATTTGCTGGGTTATCTTGTATTATGCATATTCATTACCTCATTAACTGTTTCATCTCATTACTATTCACATGAATTAATCAGTGAGTTTACCAGTTGTACACTATAGATAAAGGGTATTGAACGATGAAAGACTCCTATCTTATAGTTAACGAGTACAACAGTAAACACTGTTGCTTGGTCAGCATGATTTTTGAATAGTAGGAGTCTTGTTTACGCATGTAATATAAATGTTTCAACATAATATTATATCTCTGATTTATTTTATTGTTTATGTCTTTGGTTGTATGTGGATAAAAAATCCACTGAAGAAGGATATTTTATATATGCGATTTACTTATTAAGTTGACACTCTCCAAGTACATATATACTTATAATTTTACTTTCATTCCTCTGTTATATATAGAATTTTGTATATAAAAATTGTAATCATTTACAGCACCCTACTAGTAATTCCAAGTTCTCCATAAAGAGGTATTCTCATCGTTCATTATTACAACTACGCCTAAAGGATAATCATTTTTACTGACATTTCTATATTTCCAACCACATTTTATGGTTTATCATTCGTAGAACTGTCCAAGTAGTACATTTAGTTATATAACCTTTAGTTCTTATTCGATATTATCGATCAATAAAACATTCTCTAGCTATTTATTGCCTTTCCTAGGAACACCATAAACGTCCAATTTCTAAAGACACATGGGACCTTCTTCTAGATTTTGTGGAAACAATCTATCCAGATATGTCCAATTATGACGAAGAAGGTAAGTCCATCTTTCTAGTGAATTTTATTTATCCTATATACTTCCTTGGGGCTTGTATGGATCTTGTTCACTAAGACAGTTGAAACGGACGATAAACGTATCTAAATCATAAAACTTAATATTGTCAATAGTGTACATATTCTATTTAATTTGTCTATACTTGAGCTGTAGAGTATTTATTATTATTATTTTTCCCTTGGGTTCCTAGTGGAACATAGGGCTTCAGTAGCACGTCTCCAGTGAACTCTGTTCGCCGAAATCTTTTGAACCTGGTCCTACGACAGCCCAGAAGCTCCTATTTCTTCCTCACACCATCTCCTCCATGTCACCCTCACCTCGGACGCCCAACTCGTCATTTACCATCTGGATTCCACTCGACCATCTGGCCTGGCACGTGATGTCCCCAGTCCGCCTTCTCAGTCTATGCCCAATCCATCTCCACTTCCTTCCAGTGCATATTTATTGAGCGATAGGTTCTTGCTTCGTTGGTTCGTTCCAAGAGTTAGTTTCCTTGTTGCTTATTCTTTCTGGCCATCTGATCTTCAATAACGAGACAGCGTAGACGGCAGTTGTTGATGAATATCTGTAGTTTGTTGGAAATGCCTTTCGTAACGCGCCAAGTTTCTCAACCACCATATAGAATCACTGACTTGACTGACGTTGGTGTTGAAAATCCAGATGTTGTTCACGCTTTATGCTGAATGCGGTGCAGAAGATCTCCACACTGGTTTCAGGTTAATGAACGCTGTCTTGCTGTCTTTCCGATGCTGGCTGGCTGGCTGGCTTTGGCATCCTCGTCTGTGCCTGTGCTGCCTGTAGTTGAAACAGTGCTGTCTAGGTAGGTGAAAGAGGCTACTTCCTTTCAGTTTTTCCCGTTGATGGTGATTGGAGCCTGTTGTTGTTGCTGTTGGTGATGTTGGTTGGGTATCTTCATCACTTCTGTCTTTTCTACATTCACTTGAAGTCCAGTCTTCGCTGCCCTGCTTCTTCTGTCAACTTGTTAGTTTTCGCCTGTAGATCTTCAAGTTTGTGTGACATCAGGCACAAGTCATTGGCGAAATCCAAATCTGCTGGGTTCTTTTCCGCAGTCCAGCCAGCGTATCCCCTCTTCTCACAGCTCCCGACTGTTTGCTGCATGATCCAGTCGACCACTATCAGGAATATCATGGGGGATAGTAGGCAACCTTGTTTCACTCCTGTCTTCACTTCAAAAGCATCACTGAGCTTCCCCTATATATATATATATATATATATATATATATATATATATATATATATATATATATATATATATATATATAAACGAAATTCAATGAACAGTTGCAATGAGTAAATTGATCAGTTCATTTAGTATGAATGCTTATCAGTTTATCAGCTTATCAGTCACAAACCATGATTAAACAGTGAGATAATAATTTGAATGAAATAACATGTCAAACTATTTTAATATCTAGGGTCCTGGTTAATCAGTTTCAAAGGCCACAGGAAGCACTAGTTTTCAAAATTTATGACAATACCTACTTCCGATTAGATTATTTATATGTATAATGGCAGTAGCTTCATTGTTGAAAAAAAAGGAAGTAGCTTTCATATTATGTGAATTTTCAAGACATCTAATTTGTCAAGTTAGTGATGCTTAGACTATTTTACTTATCTAAATCAAAGCCTCTCAAGATTAAAGGATAGTAATTACTTCACTCCACAAAGATTGTTAAGGTCACTTCATATTTAAATGTAAAATTCAGAGCCACTCCAGTGAATCAGTGTCACATTTCACCTCACAAGATGTTCGACAATGTTGGGAAAGCAGCATACCTCAAACCATTCAATGAACTAATGCTCGATTATTGATTTGCTTGATTGGTTTTCAGTTGCTTAATTCCTTTTTATTAATCCGTATGTTTAACCAGTGTTCAAGTGTCTGTCGATTGCCATTTCAATTTAGTATTATGCTTGACTATATTTGGCGATCGAGTGATCCGAAGTATCAGTAAATTTATGAGCATCAACCAGTGGTAAGATATTTCATCGTTGGCATTCATTTATGTACACAAACACAAAAAACGGATTGGGATGACATGGAAAACTGTAAGAGAAGTCATGGAATTATAGTGCTCCAATGAAACAGCAATCGACAGACACCTGAACACTGGCCAAACTTACGGATTACTAAAAAGGAATTAATTAACTGAGAACTAATCAAGCGAATCAATGATCGAGCATTAACTCAAACGCTTACTGTAGGAATATTTCACATCTTCGGTAATAACTCGTCAAAAGACTAGGTTGTAAACGTCAACATGTTAAAGGAAAATCATTCCTATGCATAATACAATCACTCAACGTCCAGAAATATTCTACATAAACACTTATGCAGCCTTAAAATGCTCCATGTCTTTTATGAAGTAAGCGCTGATGATGAAACTCCCAAGAACAAATATTATAATGTATGAAACTCATCTAGTGTCTTGTGATTGACTGGTTGTTTTGTTTCTTTCACTAGTTACCTGGGTTCACTCACTTCTTAACTGGGCAAAAATAATAATAATAATAATGGCTTTATTCTGGAAGCTATTCCGGGAATATTCTACAGAATTTTCAGCACGTCATAATAGCATCAGTTGGATAGAGACAGTGTATATGTAGACATAGCAAAATGAAATAAGTAAAAAATTACATGAAGAAAAGATAAAAATATTCGCTCCATCTACAATATTCTTCAAAATGCAGGGTCAATTTAGGTAGACAATCATATTGTCAATCAGGTTCATAATACTTAAATAGTAACACGATCATCTTCAGTTAGTTTGCTTTCAAAAACAGAAGTTGGTTCGTTAGTTCATTTCTAATACTTTCTACATCACACAGCAGATGAGCTCTAAATACCTACGGTATCGTAGAGTTTTTATATTTTGTAGTACGTGCTTGCTCCTCGTCTTTAGAGATGACCGACACGCAGAGAGCTTTGAGTGAAGAGGATGTTGGTCACCTGATAAAATAACTCCTATATGAGTTAATATGTTTGTCCACAACAGTTTTAAACTAGAAGGTTAAGGGGTACAACACTAGTTCTACTGACAATGTTTAAAGTTCTAAGCAATATAGCATAGTCTTTTTTCAGCAACCCAGGAAAGAATAAAGGTGAGCAATAGAGGAGGACAGGCAAGATGCAGAAGTTTATAAAACATAAGAGAAGAGGCTGAGTAATACTAGATACTCTCAGCTTCCTAATATAGAAAGTTAGCTGGAAAATTCCTTTGGGAATTTGCGAGATATGAGAAAACTAGGAAAGGTACGAAGAAAAACACACACCACGATAAATCACATTCTCTAACGCGCAACTATCTATAGAACGAGAATCATGAGAGCTAAGCAGTTTACATAAGTTATGTTCACGTCCAAAATTAAAGTTTATGGTCTGACATTTTGAAGAATTAAGCATAACACCATTCTCGGAGGACCATCGTCTAACAGTAGATAGAAAATCATTTAGTTAGGAACAATCTGCTGAAGAGCAGATAGATATGGAAACTGTTAGGTCATCAGCATATTTAATGAAATTGATACCAGCTGAAGATGGTAGGTCATGCAGAAAGAATGAGAAAAGACATGCGGAAAGGATGGCTCCTCGGGGAACTCCAGTCACAGTAAGCAATGTGGTGAAGCGCTTCCCTCTGAACAGCTACTAATGAGGGAGTTCAGAGCAGAAAAACGACTTGGTTAGTATAGCCTGGTTAGTTGATGGTAGAAATAAATATCATCCTTTCATCTTAAAAATGTTCACAATCTCTCTCAAATTGTTCATTGGCAAATAGTTAGTTAAAAGAATAGCCTCAGGCTACTCTGAAACCAACAAAATGCTAAGTGGGATAGCTATGCAAAATATTCAGTTTAGCTGCTTGAGAATTTCAGCTGATAGGATAGAACTAAATGATTAATGCTTTCATGACGAAATTTATAGGTTTGATTTTGAGAAATATAATTCTTGCATGCTATTAATAACTTCGAAGATCTACAGGCGAAAACTAACAAGTTGATAGAAGAGGCAGCAAAGGCAGGACTTCAAGTGAATATAGAAAAGACAGAGGTGTTGAAGATACCCAACCAACACCACCAACAACAGGCTCCAATCACCATCAACGGGAAAAACTGAAAGGAAGTAAGTAGCCTCTTTCACCCACCTAGACAGCACTGTTTCAACTACAGGCAGCACAGGCACAGACGAGGACATCAAAGCCAGCCAGGATCGGAAAGACAGCAAGACAGCGTTCACTAACCTGAAACCAGTGTGGAGATCTTCTGCACCGCATTCAGCATAAAGCGTGAACAACATCTGGATTTTCAACACCAACGTCAGTCAAGTCAGTGATTCTGTATGGTGATTGAGAAACTTGGCGCGTTACGAAAGGCATTTCCAACAAACTACAGATATTCATCAACAACTGCCGTCTACGCTGTCTCGTTATTGAAGATCAGATGGCCAGAAAGAATAAGCAACAAGGAACTAACTCTTGGAACGAACTAACGAAGCAAGAACCTATCGCTCAATAAATATGCACTGGAAGGAAGTGGAGATGGATTGGCATAGACTGAGAAGGCGGACTGGGGACATCACGTGCCAGGCCAGATGGTCGAGTGGAATCCAGATGGTAAATGACGAGTTGGGCGTCAGAGGTGAGGGTGACATGGAGGAGATGGTGTGAGGAGGAAATGGGAGCTTCTGGGCTGTCGTGTAACCAGGTTCAAGAGTTTGCAGAGATCAGAGTGGAGTGGAGTAGAGATGTGCTACTGAAGCCCTATGTTCCACTAGGAACCCAAGGGACAAATATTAATAATACAGTAAAGAACAATATCTGTCCACAATCTAATTTCTAATGGTCATTCGGTGAGCTGTCAGATGAAGATTGTTATCAAAGTTACATTTGAGCCATTTTCAAACTAAAAGCCTGACAAATCTAGTTTCTTTACGAGCTGTGTATGATATTTGAGAACGTTTTGTAACAAATTCGTAAAATATTCCCCGCAACTTAGCATAATAATCATGTTTCATAATTTTACAGCAGTGTAAAACTAAGGGATCTTACGGCATTTTGAGGTTTTCCAACACCTTTGTTATTACCTTAACCATCCCTACCGTGTTCATGCAATGTCGTTTGATGATGAAATCAACCTTTAAACCAGTTACATCAGTATCACTGTAACATATCGGTTTTAAAATTGTGTCTGCTGTTACAACACTTTGTTTCTGTGCTTTTATGTCAGAACAACTCTTAGGTTCCCGACACATTCTTTTTATCATTTAAACCTGCTTCACTTTACATCAAACATCTTTTTTATTCACAGGTGCCTGGCCAGTATTAATTGATGAATTTGTGGAATGGGCGAAACCTCAAGTTCAATCAGATGAACTATCAACCAGTCGTTCGTGATCTGTTCATATAATTTCGGAGTGATATTTATTTCTTGTAAAATATGCAGCTATTTTCACCACAAATATTTTCAATTAGAACAATTGTAAAGCCCCTGTTATCTTCCTCCTCAAATCGCCTTTCTGTTAAAGCTTATTCTTCCCTTCAAAGTATCTAATGATGGAGAATAGCTGACCTTTCCCAATATGTGTAGTCTGTTCTTCTTGTTACAGGCTATGGTGTTTTCATAATCACCTGCTGTCCTTTCATTGGTATCTAGTACCGGTGAATTTAAGCAAATTCACATTAAAGTGTATACATATGACTATTCTTAGTTTTATCAACTATAGGCCACATCGTTCTACTTCTTATACTGTAAGAATTAAGCTGATATGTTGCCTACATTTGGTGGCTAGAAATACAATAGTGAACGTACATTTCAAGTTATTGCTTCTAGGTTTATTTCGTTCTTCACCGTACAGTTGTATTTGTACTTCTTAATGGTTTGTAAAATACTCAACACCTCCTAGTGCTGCACCAAATGTGTACACATATCTTAAGGGCTTATGACATTAGAGGTTATTCTACTAAATGATCCTCTTAATGTCGTCTATTGTTGCAGTTTGTTAATCTAAACTTCACTTCCTGTGGTAATCCTATACAGCTTATTTTGCCAATTCTTGTCTTATCAGAATATTGTACCTAACCCTGACAATGCCATCTGTATGCTGTACTTTGTGACTCGTGAACGAGTGTTAAAACCACTTTATTTCACGTCGACATTCTCGTAATTATTCTATTTGTATTCCAGAAGGGAGATACCGTACTCTCAGTCCACTTAAATTTTCCTTTCGAAGTGGTAACAAGATAATCTGTCTATACAGGATCAAAATTTTCCAAATGTGCACCTGCTTATATGGTAGAAACGAAGCTGATTCAATCACTAAGATGTGTACTACCAATTCGAATTGCCACTCACTATCACTTCAAGGGTACCTTCCGTTTGAGCTATCACAGGACCTACTGCTAAAGTATGTTCACAAGTGTAGGTGTTCAGTCTCTACTTTCAATACATCTGAAGAGCAGTTTGATTGCTCCTTTTCCTAGTCTAACTATAGTACACCCACTTCCAACGAAAACAGACGAGAGTTTACATAGTTATTCCAGAAAAATGTTTATATACTCTATAAAGTTGATATGCTCGTTTGTTATGGTTTAGTGCGTCACTATTCATAGCTCTAAATTTATGCGTTTGGCTACATTTATCTTCTAAAGAGACTGGTCTGTTGCTATACTGTATGAATAGATACATTTTGAGCACTCGTAGTCATTCATTTTCGCATCTCTACCACGCTGATTCCTATATTTCATCCGATGTTAGTTTAGTAGTACTCTCAATAGTAAAGTGATACCACTCATGAATTCTAGGTGCCCAAGTGTAACATCTCTGATCATTAAATCTACCTAGCATGTAGTCAAGGATTGGAGATACTACTAAGGTATATTTGATTATGTAAAAGTACTTAACATAAAAAACTCGACAGTAGCTACAGGGTTATTCAGGTGATCTCAAGTCAACGGAGAAACTATGGTTGCAATATGAGTGTGTACCTACATTACAGGGGCAACATTTGCATGTGTTATGCTCTAGAGGGGTAAACTCGATGATTAGCTATTTGCTAATTGATTTCGCCAATATGTCGTGTTGTTAAGCCTAGTGGTATTTAGACACCATAAACTTGAACTTTATCTAAGTCGGTGAGTGTTGATTCCAGAAACACTTTCCACCTCACTACTTTGATATACCATTTAGTAATATCAGTGTCTCTAGTTAAACTTTGTGTGAATCAATTTTCCATACGATTATGCTGTTGCGAAGTAATTTAGTTTCTCTGTAAGTTTGGAAGAGCGAATCAATTGGCGTTATTTTAAAACTAAAGCGTCCTTACTGTCTGTTTAGACAGCGGCTCAATTTTTATACCTGGATAAATCACTTAGCAATGTTTCGTAACAAGTATATAATGTTAGGATTGTCTTTTTAAAAATCGTAGGCAAGTGTTGAATGACATTTTGTAATATTTAATTTGTTACACAAGTATGGTGTGAACAGTATTGAGACACATGGAATATATTTGTTGTACTGACAAATGTGGTAAACATTACCACTAGCAATAGTGAAATGAGAAATGCCCTAAAACAGTCTTAGGGGTCTATAGTTGCTATTCGATTGAGAGTGCATTCATGCGGTTATGCTCTCGTACTTCCTACCACAATTTTTCAGTCATGTGACTGGTATTTCTACAAAACTAAAAGGATGATGTCCGGCATCAATCACTAAATTGGTGGATAAGAAAGACTTGACTAAGAATTCGAGTAATGCAGTACATCTTAGTGAAATGCTCCAAAAAAGTTCTCCATTTTAACGTATTTCATATAGCAGTGACATGGAATTGTACTTTGTCAGTGCCTAAATTTCATTCATATTTAAGTTCCACATCTGTTGGACTATGGTACATATCATGCTTAATTATTCGGGGATCGTACATTTTCTGCTCTCGGTGTTGAGGTATGAAGCTATACTACCCAGCCTATTGAGAGTAGTTTGTGTGCTGTTATAGTAGAATGCTCAATCGGGGGAAGTGACTGGCTGTTCAGTCTATGTGCCGGTGAATTGCCGCTAAGGCTGAGTTTTACCACTAACCAGGCGTCCTAGACAGATATCATGGTACTAGCTGGGAACTTGCATGCACAGCTCAAACATTAGTCTTCCAAGTCGGATAAAGATCGTCTTCGGCAGATGACAATTTGCTTCTCCCCAGCACCAACTTTCAGAACAGCTGTTACTGTTGGTGACCCCCTTCGCCACTCAAGTAGATCATTTAGCAACTATCCACCGTGTGTATTAAAGGTTGCCGCTCATTCTGCAGCACCTCGGATAATGCTCTAATTTGTATGAAGTTTATTTTACATCCTGGAAACCTTCCGAAACTGACTGACGTAGAAAAAGTGTGCCCTTTCAAAAAGGACAGTAGCATTTTAACAGATTTCATTAAATTGAAACACTTTCTGTGTTTCGGTTCAGTGTCTGGCTAGTGACAATATCACAGGATACCTGCCTGGTATCGCAGAAATGTCGGCTGCTCGAGAGATGAGTTGTAAGCTATACTCACAATGAGCTCACTGCTCTTGTGGTCCCCTTGGTTATGACGATATACTGCTAAATAGCCCGGCTGATTATGATAGGTATTAGTGTCTATGTTGCAGAACCAAAAGTAAGTACAAGAGTTTATTAGATGTGATTTTGATCATCATACTTTTGAGGTCTCTATATAAACCAACACCACTGAGAAGTTGCATCCTGTCAACCCGACTCTTAAAGATTGTATTAAAGGGGGCAATAATGCTACGACTATTCCTCTTTCAATTTCTAGTACCAAGTATCCCAACGCAAAAAGGGAGCGCAGTACAGTCAACCCATTATCGAAACAACCCTCTTACGATCTGCTCTTCTACAGTAAAGCATTGAAGCAGATCCTTCCAATCAAGAATGCGAATACCATATCTGATAAGCACTAGATGAGAATTAAGAAATGCAAGCAGGTTAAAGCATTAAGTAAATCCACCAAAGGAAGTGGCAGCAAAGGTTGGTTAGCTACGCCTCCTGCTCAGACCAACTTAATATGGAAATAAGGATCTCAATATCGATACCTCAAAAGCACTGCCAAGGTCTTTTTATTTATACTGGTTTGCGCTCCAAGAGCGCAAACCAAACCAAACCTGAGTTAAAGCTATTTGTTGACGAGTATCGTCCTAGCTTAGTGACTGTCTGTGAAACATGGCTTAGAGTGGACATAAAAGATGACGTTTTTCTTGGTAAGCTCAGCTTAACTCGCAAGAACAGATGGGAAGGCTTCGCTACTCTTTGCATCCGCGCTTCGTTGGAAGCCCGAGATTTCCTGCCTCAGAAATAACACTGAAGAGGTGCTGTAGTGTGACATTAAACCTTACGGGGGTCGCTGCTTGATTGGAGTCTTACACCGCCCTCCATGAGCCTTTGTAACATTTAATTAGAAAACGAGTAGCTCCAGGTCCTCATTATGGGGGATTTTAACTCTCCTCAGCTCTTACCACTTCCAGTTTATCGCTCTTGCAAGATGGTTTCGGGATTATTACAGGAAAACTGCTTGACAGGAAATGTTTCTCAGTGAGTGTCTGGCTGTAACGTATCCCAACTATTTTCTTACCACTCAGTCCACTGGTATGTCCAACTTGAATGTCCATAGCTCTCTTGAACAGAGTGACCAAGTGCTTGTTTCCTTCAACGTCTTTACATCAAAGTCACCTACCCTTGATCCTCCACTAGACGAGAATTATAGGGAAAAAGCCCGTCAAAAACTAGGAGGTTCCACCTGGCTGAATTTCGACGACGCACTTGGTCCGGATATCAGATGGGAACTGCTAAAAGACGCAATACTTCAGACGATCGATAAAAACATTCTTCTAACTTTCCATGAAGGAACAAGAAGACTTACTTTTTCTGGCTTAGGTCGAGCACTCACAAGCTTACACGTTGTAAACAGTTAGCTTGAAACTAATGGAGGGTTTATAATAGCAAAGACGTATGGGAAAATTACATGGAGATCCGTAAAATATTCACAGTAAGAACCAGAAGGGATAGAGTAAACTCCCAGGCACATGTGTAGAAGAGTCGTTGGGCAGTGTACCTACTGATAGAAAAAGAAAAGTAACGTCCAAATGAGTACTCAGGACCCTATTAGTTCGGTGATTCACAACAATAACTTGCCGGCTCATGAATTACACAGTAATTTCTATCAAGTGGAAGGGACAACCAAACACTAGGTAGACATTCGAAATGCAGAAAGTTATATAGGATTTGAACCTCTTAAAATCAAGAGATTCTAAAGGAGCTTAAATTCTAACAGATCCTCAGATATTGAAGACATTCTCCTGAGTACTCAAAGTGGGCCGATGTCCTGTCAAACTAGCAAACCTCTCCAGATACTCGTTTCTAAAGGGAAGATTTCCCTCTGCCTGGAAGCGAGTGGCTATTGTCTCTATCTGAAGGTGAGTAAACTACTTGCTTCTATCTATAGACCAATCTCCTTGGTAGTAAGCGACTCATCCCGTGATTATCTTCCTGGAAAACCAATAAGAATTCTTACCTGGAAGATCATGTAACAACTTATTGATAGCATGGAATAGCTGGGCAGAAAAACCCTATTCATATTCGGCCATTTATTTTATCGAAAACCCTCAGCAGGGTCAGTCACAATATCCTGAGTAGAAAACTTCAGCTTACGGAGCAGACAGGAATTTACTCAGCTGCTTAAGAAACTACCTCAACGGTCAGGCCCAATACGTTAGAATAGGCTATTCTTTGTCTAACTGGTTCCCGATTGAGGTGCTTCAGTGTTCCACTCTAGGCGCACTACCTCTTGTTTTCATGAATGACTTGTCAGCGAGCCTAAATTCTGACTCACTATTATATGCCGATGATCTCAAGATACGAAAGGAGATAGAGGCCAGAGACAATCTTAGTCCTGCAGGAGGATCGTTAATTGGGTGAAACCTGCTCCTTCTCAAGACGCTGTACATAAATAAAGATTTAATCCTAGTTCTTACACCCTGGGGGAAGTACATCTGACCAAAACATTAAAAAGGTCCAGAAACTACACTGTGACACAGACTCCTGCCCGTTGTCGCCTCGCCGCCGTCCTAAGGCATCTCTCCCGAACCCTAGAGAGTCGAACTCCGAGGCTTTTCACAGGTATGTGGACTATACATTCCTCCTTCTGTAGAGAAAAATCAACTTGTTCTATATCCAATGCTAAAGAATGTGGCCATTCTAGGACGGGTTCAGAGGAAAGTTGAGAAAGCGATAAGGCTATGATACAAACATTTTCTGGACCACTTAGTTGCTCCCAAGCAGCACCCGGTACAACACAGGGGGACTAGATGGGATACGACAATGGTATCATATCGCCTATAATCGTTTTCATCTTAACCGACTTATCCTAAACTCTGGTCAGATACTCTACCTTACAGGTCATACTTTAAGAGTAAAGCATGAAAGAGCACGTACGATATCCCACACTAACTTGTTTGCGGTTAGAGTACAGACGGAAACAGACAAGTGGATAGAAAAAGACCGATATCAAAGTGGGCAAAGTTGTATGGGAGAAACTTTGATGAAGGCCAGTAAAGAAACTAAAGCTTCAGAAGACATCGAGTGAATACATCTGTGCTACTGTAACCGAGTACGTGAACTGTGTAACTCCCTTACTGAAGTTGTGACAGCCCCTTATCCTGATACGTTCAATAAGTTAGATGAACACCATGGTAGGGAAGGGATGTACTCCAAAAGTCACTCGTTGTCTCACATACCATGGAGAGCAGCACTACTTATGGGAAACTGGTCAGTTTATTACTGAATAACTTTCCTTTGAGCTTTCTCTGAACTGGGAAAACAACTCTTGAAATCAAAGAACGTATTCCACTAAGCAAACGCAAACTCAAGGGACCACTACTGGCTTTCTACAACAAAGTCGCAAGCAAATAATCTGACTCAACATCAAACGCCGGATTCTGGGGCTGGCTACTGAACCTTTAATAGAGTAGATATGGAAATAAGTTTTAATAACCAAACGCCATAAGATTCAGCGGTAAAGCCGCTTACAGCTTCGAAGAACGTCCCATTGGTAAAAAGCAACTACGTAAAACTCATTAAAGAACCCAACAGTCTGCGTCATCCTAGTATGCGGGAATAATCCGAGCGTGTTAACAATGCATGGAAAAATGCAGAAGACAAAAAGCAATTGCCACATCTGAGTCATGGGCAGTTGGTTATGGAAAGCCTAAAATGCTGCACTAGTCGAGCCTTTGGGCATCCAGTAGTTTTGTGTGCGTAGATACCAGGGGATAGGTGGCCATAACAAGCCCTAACTTCTTCGGAGTTGAGTGGGAGGTCCAATCATATAGCTGACTGTTAGAAATAAACGAAACACCAGCTTTTTGAAAATTCAAAACATTTTACTCGCACTTAACTCAGATGTTCAAAAAATGCGATCCAAATAACCGTGTCATTCAAGTGAACATAGTCGAAATTAAAGCAAGAAGCAAAAAGTAAGTAAAGACCTGTCTGCAGCACAAGCGGCTTACGTCCGACCTCGACACATGCAGAAAAGTTATTTAAGTAACTCTCGGCAGTCAAAACCAACCAAGTTCAGCGCCTAGACTTACCAACGGAAGGATATCCCACTTGCTTCGATCTGAGAAAATCTGTCTACTGTCTACTACGAAATCATTGTTTTCTTTCAAATGCAAAGTAATGGGTTAAATGAGCTTTGCTAGTATGTCGTTCGAGTGATACCTATTTACACAGCGACCTAACCCGAGGTACAGTACTTCAGCTGTAACATCAGTACGAGGACGGACATCACGTTATATTATCGAGATAGTAAAACATGCCTCATTCCTAAAAGAGGGCCTATGACATCCCGCACCCTGGAATAAGTCTCCTTGAAGTGTTACCCCATGAAACCGTTAATAGCGACACACTACAGGCGAACAACTCAAAAAAATTCATTATTCATCTCAACCGAAATTACCCACTAGTATGAGCATAAGGCAAGTTGCACGTTAACCTGCAGTTGACAAAACGTTTAAAGAGACTAACTTTCACAAAGGAGACCTTTATTACTATGATATATACAGCTCATGATTCATGGGCATCACGCAGACGTCTGATGGCTGCTCGAATGGTGGTTGCAGCAGTTGTGCTGAAAGGAATACATCATCAACAGATAGGACATACCTGCAAACATAAGCACCTCCGGCGACCACTTTCTTGCAAGCCTTACATTCCCATATACCAACTGCTTTTCTTTTCAAAGATTCCTATGAAGTAAATATCACAGTAACATTTAGAACAAACCTTTCCGCAAAAACTGCAGTTATACTTAGCATGCTGACTAACTTCGATTTTCTTGATGGTTTTTCTTAAAGAAGCGCCATATCTGACACCATACTTCCCAACTATACCGACTTTCTTCGTTCTTTTAGCCTGAAGTCAAGAATACGCAAACGTCATAATACACATACCATAAGGAACCGAACACGCACTATGAACCAAAGAGCCGCCGAGCTGTGTTTGTAACATACCGACGACGTTTCAGAGACACTCAATGCTCAATAACTTTCCAAGCAGTAAACACACCTATGTTCTGTGTGTGGCTCATAGAGCTATGATCATAAGAAAAACAGGAAGTAAATTTTTCCAAACTTCTGACATATTTGCCTTTTGCTGTGCAACCTATATCAGAAGCTTTATTATGAATTTAATTATTTGAAGTAATCCATTCACCGTTTGAAGTTTCATCATCTCGAAGAATATGTTTAATTTTACGAAGCGTTTTCTTTCTCCCAGCCTTAGGGAAAAGACCTACCTGTACGGGTTGGCTTTTTAACCGTATTTTGTAGTCGATCTCTCTTGTCGTGTTATCACAATAAAAGTCGTTCTGGTCTAAATCTGACTGAAAAGTTTATTCCCAGTACTGTCTCAGTGGTGAATTTCAATTATAGTGAATAACATGTCTAATGATTATCACATTTGTGGTCAACTCAGCTGTTAATTCCCAGTCGACGATGGTATGCGACATGATGCATGTGGATATTTGCTTCACAAAGTTTATCCTGGATTGACACAAACCATGTACAAGCATAGCAGAAGGTCATCCCCACGCTGGTTATGTGACGTCTGGTGTGTATACTTTGTCAGCCCCAATTCAGCAACTTAAAACTGTGTTGTGCAGTTAGTGAGCGACGGTTCTCTGAGTTCTGTGTTTGTCTTACTGGAGTAGGTTCTAGATTTGGAATGGTCACAGTTATCTTTCTGGTTCTGAAAAACCTGAAAGGACACAAGTAATTGAGTTATAATTAATCTTGTCTCGATGTATAGCGTTACCCCCCCCCCTGATCTACAGATGACGGGATGCTTCTCGAGCACAGCCCTTCGGTACCACAAGACCCTAAATGTGCATCTAACCTCCTTTTGAAAGAATCAGAGTATGAGAAGGCTGTCGAAGTATCATTGGCCGAGAAACGCTCGTACGGTAACGAGAGCTTTTAGGCTTATATGGTGTTAAATGATGGCGCCGCAAGTGTTATCGGCAGTATGTGTGACTTGAAACCTAAAAATTAACGGTTGCATAGTAGCCATTTAATCGATATGGCTACACCTGTATCATAGAAGTAAAACCTAGGGTAGCTGGCAGACCAACTATGATGCCCGGAAAGTCACCAACGGACTGAGTCTCCGTCAACAAAATTGCTGTTACGACGCCGATCAATGAATCTGGCCGGATTTCTCTGAGAAATAATTCAAAGAAATCCTCAAACTTTATCAACGAAATTATTAATGTAATGAAATCTGTTAAGAAAGCCGCGAAGACCGTCAAAATGAGGCCTTAGGATGTCCCATCAACATCTAGTGCGACCTTCTGGAATGCTGGGGATTCATTAGACAAAGGTCCCTCAATATGTCATGATCTGAAGCTGACTGGGTCGGGCATCCAACCTGAAACTTTTACAGGATTGCACACCTCCGAAGTATTAAGGTCAGGGGAAAGGAAGATGGTAAAGCCAATGAGCAGAGGTTGTTCTCTGGAATTGATGTGCTCCTGAATAACGCATACAAACTAAGAAGTTCAGACATACTCATCCGGCTGCGGTCGCCTCTCAAGGACGGGAAAAGAAGAGGAGACGCGATAGCTAAACTCAGGGCTCGACAAATCAAGCCATGAAATAGTCTCAAAGTCGCGCGTTTTTTAACCATGAGGTCTTGAAAGCGAATAATTCCAAGACTCGTACCGATGGGTCACGGAACTCTTCAAACACTGAACGTAGCCCACACCAGTGTTCCCAGGATTATGAATAGAATGATAGACCTTGGGACTAGCTTATGAACTTCGTACCAATGTAGTGACCGTTGCTGAACCTTGGCTAATAAAGAATTTAGGTCTTATGCTGCTTCTAACGCAGCTGCGAGTGAAGTCAGAGCAAGGCTTAAGTACTGGATGAGGCTCTCAGTCTTAGCCTCGGCCAATTGCTTCAAAAACTATCTGCTTTTAACGGCACTAGAATCTGCTTTTGCTCAAAAGACAACTTTAGCAGCACGATGCGGCTTCGTCACCAGATTTGGTTTTGACCTCCAAGTGTGAAGATACTGTAGATGTGTTATATTTCCCCTCACTATTTAACAGCTGTCATGTAGTGCCAAACTTAGGTTTACGGACCCATGAGTTTGATTACAAAATTGCTTCTCGTAGACATGGTATTTGGCGCGCAGATATTTCAACCATGAGGGATCGCACAATCGAAACATCAACACAGACTTATCAGTCGGGAGCTCACTGGAAAGAGGCGGGAACACCGTTTATTCTATTTTCGATTCCACGAGGATCCTCACATCGTTCCGCATGGTAAGCAAAACTCTGTTCTCCCTATTTCGGCCACCTGTCCCGGAAGTTTTGAAGTAAGTAGTAAGCCGGGGCCTTAACTTACAAGAAATCCCTTCAAATTCCATCCTTATGTTAATTCACAACGTGCACAGTGACTACAACATTAATGACAATCACCTCGGTTACTAGCAGCGTTCTTTAATTTCAAACGACTGTTTCTCCGTGGTCTCTGTGGCTCAAACTAAACCAACGGGCTCTAACATAAAGGAACTGTTTTGGTCACTGATCGGTCTCAGCAATAAAACCCTGTTGAGCTAATAGACGGCATGTTGCAGTGGGAACTTTACTACCAAATTTAACTCTCACTGAAAGATCCGCATAATTTTAATATGCCATATCGATTCAGACTAACTAGACCTGAACTAGTTTCATGTAAATCAAGTGGTCTAATTGGAATACATTGAGTTCCGTGGTATCACAGATAAAGAGTTTTTGCTTCTGTTAGTTGAATTACTGCAGATGTGATGTTTGTGATGTCCGCAAGGCACATAATGCGTCCCGGCCCGAAGAACCCATAAAAATGGCGAGCCAAATATCTTTCGATCTGATTAGTCTTACCGAACTAATGCAGAAAGCCAAATTTGTCAACAAATTAAGGCAAGCGTATACATCTTTCCCTTAAATACCGAAGTTCTACCAGTCTGTGCACTAAGTATAATGGCAAACAATATGAGTAGCTGAACACCACCCAGGTTATCCCGCGGATTCTACCAGCCGGATGAAGCTGATCTGGTGGTCATTTCGCCCTCTTGAGGGCAAGCTCATCAGTGATGTAACCAAATGTATCGAGCTCAGGAAGCCGACCTGCTCAGCCCACCCAACTATCTGACGTCGCTTGCAAAATCTACGGACCAACCCTGGTGATCTTTAGCCGTGCATGCTCAGTATTCAGTTTCACAAGCCCAGGAAACTTTTGTGTCACGGATGGAACCTGGTGATATTGTGAAGCGGCTCGTAACAGAAACCTTGTTGAGACCACCCTTAATCGTTTGAACGTCTTCTCTGCTCTGAGAAATATCTGCGCGGACCACGCGGCTTTGGTTAGTTTACTAACCGACCGTCCTGCTCACACAATTTATAAACGTTTCCACCCTTTCGCACCTGACACCCGAAATGTTAGTTACCCACTTCGCATGAAGCTGATTGTTGTCATTACCGGTCGTTTAAACCGGTCTTCATCTGAATTCACCCATTGCTCATTTTGCTTGTAGCAGGGTGAAAAGTCCTGAGATTCAGCTTGTCTGTGAATAGATATCCTCTGCACACGTCAATGACCAAGTCTGGTCATTATAAGTAACATATCAACTTCGATTGTAAACCTCACCCCTTGAAAGTTATGAAAGCAATACGGACACATGCAGATACAAAAAAGCATTAACCCCACTTACCCGAAACTCATTACTCGGATGCCAACGTGAGACACAATTTGATTCCTAAGTGATGCATTGTATTTGTCTAGTCGTGCGTGGAAACCTAGACGCATGGGCTACAGGCGTAGACTATCATGAAAAGGAGGTGAAAAGGAACGAGGTATCGTCCCAAATGGCGTTCATGACTGATAGTGTGCAGATAAACGAATCCGTCAAAACCGAGCCATGGGTCGATAAACTGTGGCATACTAATCTTCTGGAATTAGTTAACTCCAAACATCAATGCTGTTCAGCTTGGTTAGTTTACATACCAAGATGACAACACAAGGGCGCAAAAGTCTTACTGACTTACCTCTTCCAAACATCTGGTGATGTGCTCACTGAATCGGATGGACGTTATTTATCCGTACTAGTTTCAAGTGTCACCAAAAGTGGTACTTCGGGGTGAAATTTGCTGCTGTTTTTCAATAATGTTTGGGTTAGTATACTTCGCAAGTGGAATACGAAACAGAAAGTTTGATTTCCTTTAAAGAATGTCAGAGAAACACAAACAGAAAAACTGATGGACTATGAAAAACGAACACAGGTAATACTCGAGACTAGCTCGGAAAACCGACACATTCTACCATTAATAACACACCACCGAAGGTAGATGTATTAACTTTAGCATCCATCAAGGATAACCTGCAAGAAAATATATTGATGACCAATGGGTTAGCTTTAAATACTCTTAAGCCTAACGGTTAGGCCCTAACGTATTCTTCTCAATGCAGTGAATGGCGGAGTGTTTTTATTGTTGGGTGAGTGACAAATGCTTTTGGATACTATAAAATGCAAGTGGAAGGCTTTTCCCACTTCCATAACCACATCAGACCGTAGCCATCGATTCTGGTGGGTCATATCAAAATATCAGCTACCATCCAGCTGGTTACATATATATATATATATATATATATATATTTATATGGGTGGACAGTTGAGCAGTGACCTCCGTGTTCCACCCTTGATGACCGCCCAGCTCTTCGGTGAACAGAAAAGACAGTGAGGTGACGGCCTATTCCAGCCCAATGTATGCACAAAATACAATGATTCACAGGGTCTTGGCTATTTCTACTTCACTGTATCAGAGCGAGTCCCATTGCTTTCTTCTCTTCCACCAATCTGGAACTTACCCGTAGGTTCACATACTTTTTATCGAATCTACGCAGGGAAACGATTGGTTTTCAAAGGCCTCATGAATCGAAGGCTTCTTATGGAGACATG